AAAAAACACAATTGACTTTGTTTTACACTGAATTAAAAAAAATACTTCATCATAGTAGTATGGAAAACTTTTTTGTTGTATAACATTAATCTGATTTTAGATATATTTGAGCTTATAAAGAAATACTTCACAAATTAAATTGTTTCTTATACTTGTATTAAACTATTTTGCAATATTTTGATTGCATTAAAAAAATCTTTACAGATTCAGAGTACCCAATTAATAAAATGCCCCCAAATTTTCATCTTTTAAAGCTTTAACAAATTATAGCTATTGAGAAAATAGCATGCAAACAGAAAGATGCTGAATTTTATTCATAGAAAACATGAAAAACCAAAGAAATGTTGAGAACTCAAAATACACAGTCTATTTTAAAATTGTACTCTTGATTTTGAAATATTTATATTTGTGGGAAGAGTATTTTAATAGGACTCCTATTTACATTGAATAAAATTATAATCTATTTGGATGTGGAACGAAATTAAAAAGGTCTAAGATTTCACAGCATTTAAATTTGCTAAAATGGTCAAAAGAATCATAAATAAATAGAACTTTTTTGGCAAGTTTTATCTTAGAAAATAATTCAAATAAAATAACTGAAATATAGCAATGAGAGTAGATCTTTAAAATAATTGGGCTAAAATCTGTACACATTTCAGTCAAAATATAGAATTGAGAATATCCTTCATTTAGCATGCTTTGTTCTCAGACAAGTCAAATGCATTAAATATGGAATGCAGTTTTAAGAAGGTACCAGAAAATTTTATGAAAAAAATATGACAACATTGAACATACTATTTCATCAGAAAAATACCAATGACCCAAAATTAGACACGAATACAATTTTATAAACCTGACGTCTATCTTTCTATAATGAAAATTATTTTACAATGTTCAAATAATCAATATAAAAATAAGTTTTCATATTTAATTTAGGACTTCTGTATATATTGAATAAATTTATACTGCTGTATGTTCTTTCAATTCTAGAATATTTTGAAAATAATTTTTGAATAGAGCTAGTTTATAGGTCAACTGATAAACCAATTTCTAAAACAATAAATCAATAACAGCATTTTAATCAATGAAGAATTTTAAATTATGTTTTATTAATTTTCATATCAACTATCATTTTTAAAACTATCTCAATGTTGTAGATAACACTCAGATAATTAACTACCTTAAAACTTAGTGGTTTACAACAACTTATTATTGTCATTATTATTGTTTTGTGGTTGACTAAGTTCCATTGGATTCTTGTGAAGGGTCTCTCATACAGTTACAGAAAAATGGAAGCTGAGATTGGTGTCATATGAAGAATCAAACAGGTTGAATATCCAACATGGCTCATTCATGTGGTTAGTAGTTGATGCTGGTTATTGGCTGGGGCTCAAATTAGACTATGAACTAAAGTACCTACCTACCTACATGTCACTTTTTAAAGCATGGTAGCTGGATGATGAACAAGAGAACTTTAAATACGTGTGCTCCAAGAGACACAGTAGAAACTATAAGGGTTCTTTATGAATGAACACCATTTTTGTCATACACTGTAGATCAAAATCAAGTCAAAATGTTAGGCCAGATTCAAAAAGAAAGAACTTTATAGCACATGAAAAGCCCTATTCATTGGTTAAAAGGGAAGAGTTAAAGAGAGTTTTCAGGTGGAAGAAAAATTGAATAGAATTTCAGAATTAGTGCTGAAGGGATTTTTTTACAATAGAGGTATTTTATTTGTTTGATGAGTAGGTGGGTTGAATAGTTTTGCTTTGTCTTGTTTGGTTAGTTTAAGATCTGAAGTAGATTAGTTGAATTAGTAAAGGAACCCAAATAATAGAAGGATATGAGACATACAACCGTTTTCAGTGTGTGTTAAGCAACTTAATTACTCTACAAGATTTTGAGAAGGGGAAGGTACAATTGCTAATATTTTAAAATATATATGTGTGTTTTATTCTTTGTTATGCAAAGTTGGCTAAAATCATAACCCATTAATATTTTATTTACCTGAATTTGTTTAACCAACAATTTTATGCACTCTCTACATGAGATAAAAGGACTTTATACACATGTCAAAGTTAATTGATTGAAATAAATAGAGTGGAATAGAATAGAATAGAATAGAATAGAATAGAATAGAATAGAATAGAATAGAATAGAATAGAATAGAATAGAATAGAGAATGTGGAATGTAGAATATGTGTTTTAGCAAAATATTCTGTTCTGCGCAGCCTGGTTATTAGAGTATTCATTATAACTGAATTTAGGGCTAGGAAACTGTTCAATAGAAGATTGGTAGAGGATTGATATTACCTGTAGTCATCCAAGTGATGCTGTTAAGTAGGCAGTTGCATGCAAAAGTCAAGAGTAGAAATATTAACTTAAATCATTAGCATATATTAGAATTTTAAGCCACAGCACTAAACAAAATAACACAGGGAGTTGATGTATATAGAGAAAAAAGAAACACTGAGCCATTTATAATATTTAACATTTGGAAATTGAGCAAGGAATACTTAAATGGAAGGAGTAGCAAGAGCATGGAATGAAATTAGGAAGAATTTTAAGAAAAAAGCATCTATTAGCTATTTCAAATCCTGTTGATATTTTAAACAATGAACCATGAATGGACATTAGATTTAACATTATTGATGTCATCATTGGCAATGACAACAGCTAATCTAGTTGTGTGGTAGAGCAAAAATCCTTTTTGTTTTGGGTTCAAGAAGGAATGCGAAT